TCAAACACACTGGGGGAACCATCAAGCAAGCAGGTTAAGCAAAATTGGGAAGTCTCTGAGTTTCAAATGCTGTCTGATGATACCCTTAGCTTTGAGGTTGTGAAGGTTACTCTGCTGTGAAGTCAATCCATCTCAAAATATATCACATGGTCATCAAAGGATGGCAGGTCAGAAACAGATGTAGGCCATGAAGGCTTTTAAGGGTCTGGAGACAGCCCAAGATAACTGGGCTCTGGGTTTGCTACCTTCTGCTCCTCACAATCATCAAGTTCTGCTTAGCAGGGTCTTTACCTGTGGCTTTTCCTCCAGAAACTTTCGTTCACAGCAAGCAAAGGCACCATATTATATAGGATTCACGACAAAAGTAGGGGAGGAATCATTGTCACATCTTCTAATTTACATTGCCTAAACTGTCCAATATGGGAAAAACAATTATATTCTGGTGGGATCCCTACCCTATAGAGTAGTGGCGTGGCTGTGGACTGGGAAAATCTGCAGCTGGGGATAATAGGAAAGAACGTGATGAGCCTGCTCTGGGCTAAGAGTTCTTGGCCTCTGCATACTTTTCCATGACCCTGAGTTGGTGCTCTGGAGTCTGAGGGGGAGGGGTAAAGCAGGTGAGGAAAACATTCCCTCTCCATCTGATGCTGTTCCTGAGGGAGTTCTCACCTCACCAAGCAGTTTTTGGATGGAAAATGGCACAGTCATTGGTGAAAAGTGGCCCTGGGCTGCAGGTGTGGCATGGCCATGCGGCACATTTGCCAGAGACACAGAACTTCCAGGCGCTTTGCACGCAGAGGTAGCTACTTACGTAGAAACACAGAGGCTGTCCACCCAGTTGGGGGATAGCACCCTCTTCTTACTCAGTCACTGTTGGGTTCCTAGCCTCAGATCTTTGCTTTGTGGTTAGGTTGAGGTTGACTGATAAAATCATTTTAAATGCTGTACAAGTCCCACCCCCACCACCAAGCAGCCATTTTTCGATAACCCTGAAATCTGTTGGGATGTATGTACAGCATGGACACGTAGTGTTGATGTTCAGGTTCACAGAGCGAACCTCTCAGATAATCTGGGTCAGGCTTCGATGACCTGTTGATCTCTGGTGATGACCCTGTTGTGAAAATGAAGGGGAATGTCCATGAACAAATCATAGAGCCTGGCTGGTAGCTTCATGGGGGCCTAGAGCGTGCTTCACAGTTGGCAAGCTATAGGCCTCACACCTATAGAGACTTACACTGTCAAGGACAGAAATACCGAAGCCAAGTGCTTGGGTCTCAGAAGTATCACAACCATAAGATCAACATAATAAACTGGTCTGTATGTTGCCCTGACGTACGCACATGTTAATAGTCAGCAGCTCGTTCACAAGGCTGGCTGCACAATTGGCGAGCTGACTTCGCTCATGAGGTCTTGACGTTTGGAAAGCTTTCCTAACCACGTAGGAGATGTGATGAAGGCCTTAGAATTCTCTAACACAATGTGTCACTTAGAGTCACCTCAGTTTTACACTTCTAGAATCAAAGCTAAAGGAACATTTTGTCTGCCTCCCCATTCTGAAGAGCCTGGGACGAAGACTGGTTGAGTTCCTTTCCTTTCTTCACTTAGTAACTGGTTGATTTCATGTTTCCCTTGGCATCTGATGTTTATTTTGTCTTTCAGTTAATGTCGGCAGTGCACTGAAGGCATACTCAGTTCTAAATGAAGCAGGAAAACCTGTCCCCATTTTCACCCTTCGGACAGTGGGATGGCCACAGGTGCTTCTTTTAATCCCGGGGGCTCTGACATCCATGTCCTCTAAACGTTTTGGGTGCCCTTGTGACAGAGACATCCGTAAGTGGCTGTACCCTAGAGATACACCCAGAGGCGCAAATGAATGAGAACTATACAATATCTATCATTTTTCTAAATCCATGGAGGCCTACCTTAAATTCCTTGAAGGGAAATCAACTTCAGCAGGCAAGGGTTGAGCATAGAGAGCTATAACATGGGAGATTTAGATCAGCAGTAATGTATGATACATGCTCAAACCTTAAAAATGGCCCACCTCTGCTTGGAATACGATTTTTAAAAAGCCCATCTTTGTAAATCCTGTGCATACCTACCTTCACTCACAAGCTTGCATTTACACATAAATATGACTCTCCTGTTATCTATGATCATTTATTGTTCAAGTTACTCTCTCTCTCAGGAGTGAATTTTTAGATCTCTTGGGAATTGTATTCAAGTTCTTTTCTCAATTTAACAGAATGTTCATTTTCTACCCTGACGAGTAAGACTATTTATACTAACCTATTGTCTGCTGTGTGTTCACATTTTTGTATATGGTATTCTTGTCATAGAAACGTTGACTATTTCTGTGCAGTGAATCAATGTATTTCAGCTTTTAAGTCAGGATAACCCAGGACACTACACTATGTGAGAGAAAGGAACAAGGAGGAAGAAAAAGAGGAGGGAGGGAAGGAAAGATTTTATTCTTGGATCTCACTGGGGAGAGGAACATTTCTCTGTCCTAGGAGTACTGACTCCGACTGTAGGAACCTGAAGCCAGCCTTGAGCAGAGTAGTAGGATCCTCCTGGAGCAAGAACTCTCCTTCTGCAGATCCCAAAAGGAAGCAGAGTAGAGAAGGGGACCAGGACACTGGGGGCATTACAGGAGATAGATAGTGTCAGGATTTTTTTTTTTTTTACCTTAGTGTTGACCCTTCAGGCAGTGAAGGGGAGCTGCATGGGACTAGCAAAGAACAGGTGGGCCCAGGACTGCAGTGTTGGTGGCCCCCAGGGCAGCAGAATGGCTGAGGTAGAAGCAAAGAGGTACCAGAGGGAACCAAAGCCCACAGCAATGCAGAACGCAATGTGGCATTTCCTGTGAGGTGGAGACCGCTGGGGTTTTTTTCTAGAAGAATGAGACCATATGGACCATCTTAGCAGGCTTCCCTGGGCACCATGATAAAGCTTGCATGTGGGGCCTGGGTGGCAGCAGGAAGGCTCAGGACAATACTGGATTCTATGGCTGCAGAATTAGGTGTATTCCCATATAGGGCATGCTTCAAAGGGCTTGTTGGAAATTCAGACATGGCAGTCAGAGGGCCACATACACCTGGGCAATGACACTGTCCACCCTAGAATGGAAAACTATAGAAGAGATGGGGGTTTGTTCTTTATTAGGTTTTTAATTTCCTTATGAGTGAGAAAGTCTAAGTTTGCTTTAAAGAAGTAGATTAAGGTAACTTTAATTTTGGGTACTGTGTGAAGGGAAAGGTCCCTGACTATCTCGTTAAAGAAGGCTGGTTGCTGGAGCTGTGGTGCAGACATTAGAGTGCTGGGTTAGCATTGGGCAGGAAGGAGCGAGTTTCTTTTTCCACTGTGCCTGGATTTGGTGCCAGCTGTGACCTCCTCACAGCCTGGTATCTGGACTACACTGGTGAGTTTTCTGAGAATAGTGGTCAGGGCCTGCAGAGGTGCAATAAGGAGTTCCCGGCACACCCCCTGGAAGTTGTATCCTATTTGTGTTAAAGCACACAATTATGTCTGCCAAGCTAATTATAGTTGGGGGTAAGTGAATGTTTTCATAGGAGGAAATGATTTGAGCAAAATTATAGTTTTGACTTAGAAAGCTTAATTATCTCCAAATTGGTTTTGTTCCTGACTTTTTTTTTAAACATTTGAGGAGCTGGATTTCCTGGTGTCACCTGGATCATAGGGCAAAGGAAGGCAGCAAATAGCCCATGTCAGGTCTTATTATTGAGTCCTGCTTGATCTACTTGATGAACTTTTAAATGGATGGTGTTAAATATTAAAATGTGTGCTTGTCAGTCTCAGTAGCTGTGAGAACGTTCGTGATAACACCATGAGGCAGGAGGATTACACTGAGTCACAATGACAGAGGTTTTCATGGCAATGCTGTTGCTTCGGGCTGTGATGAATTAGAGTATCTTGGGTGCTGTTGCATGTGGGTGACCTACTGGCATCAGAACACAGAGAAGAACAGGAAGTGGACAGGCCAAGATGTTCTTTTCAATAACATACCTTCAGGGAACCACCTTGCCCAACGAGGGCCTGCCTTACACAGTCCCATCACCTTCCAGTGGTCTGAATTCTGGCTCTGGCTCCATCAGTGGATTATACCACGGATCAACTCAGAGACGACCTGATCTCGTCCTCTCTAGAGACACCCTCAGGAAAACTCCACTTAGAGTCTTCTAGGCACTTCTCCATCCAGCCAAGCTGGCCACAGAGAATAACCATCCCAAAATGTGTAATTATAATATCATAGCCTCTTGTTAAAGGGCCAGCACCCTTTCCTTGGCTGTCATCCTGCACAACTGTTCTCTCTTCTGAATGGATTCCCGTTGTTTCCATTCCTGAGTCTCTGGGCACAGGGATTTCTCTCACTAAGACAACTCACTGGTGCAAGCTGCTTGGCCCAATGAATTTGCTGAAATTAATATCCAATGTGACTGTGGGCTTGACATACCGACATTGCATGAATTGGTACTTCATCTTTCCTTGTCCGCTGAGAGCCCTGCTTGTCCTCCACTGCATGAGCTCTTCTCTTAGGCCTTGTGTGGTTTTCCTTGGTGACAACCCCTGTGTCATGGTCTGCAGCTGCTAGACAAGTTCTCATCATTCTGGGTGTTGGCCCCCAGGGACTCTCCATGTCCTGCAGTTTCCCATCTAGAGCTGGTGAGGTTGCCCTGCTACCCTGAATGCCTGTTGCAAATGGAGACCAGGATCACTCGGCATCTCTGGTTTGAGGATGGGGAAGCATGTCTCAGGAAGTTGGGAAAAATCCCACTCAGCATTTGTAGAGTCCAAGGAAAGTCCAGCTTTCCAGAGAGATCTACTCAAGATAGATCTGTAAATCCATCGCATTTCCAGCATGAATGAAGAGACGTATGTGCGCGCAGGGTAGAAGGCGGTGTGAGAGGAAGTCCTATCGCCTCTCTTTGCAGAGAACTGAACTCACTTGTTAATGTCACCGCTTTGCATCCTCAGACCAAAACTGCACTGGCCTTGCTGTATGACGAAGGGCTGGAGAATGCCTACGACGTCCGGCTGAAGCTGACTAAAGAGGTGCTGACTATCCAGAAGCAAGATGTCGTCTGCATCGGGGGAGCCCCTCCTGGTGCGAATGTAAGTGCTCCTGCTTCCAGGGCGTGGCTCAAGCCAAGCCAGGTCTGGGAGCTTCCGAAGAGCCCTGCAAACACCACTGTCCAGGAAGGTCCTGTGAGAAGTTGGTATGCTGCAAGACATCTAACATCTATCCCCCAGGCCTGGCTGATAACATCACAGGTTAAATGCTCGTTTGGTAGTTCTAGCCCATGCCTTCTCCACAGTGGCTTTTTAATGTTGCATGTAGGAGTGAGAGAGGTATGGTGCGTACATGTGTGTGTATGTGGGAGTGGGGCGAGGTGAGGTCATTGTATGCATGTGCATACGTGTAATGTGTACGATGTAGTCATTTGTATGTTGTGTGGAGGCCAGAGGTTGTCATCAGGTCCTCCTCTGTTTCTCTCCTTATCTTGTGATACAGAATTCCTCACTGAACCCAGAGCTCCTCAGTTTGGCTAGGCTGGCTGCCCAGTGGGTCTGCCTATCTCTGCACATTTCTTAGCATGGATACTTCTGGATAGGAACTGTATTCAAAAAGTGATATCACATATCTTTAATCCCAGCACGTGGGAGGCAGAAGAAGTCATGTATCTCTGGGAATCTGAGGCTAGCCTGAGGTACATAACAAGTTCAAAGCTAGTCAGGGGCGCATAGTAAGAGTCTATCTAAAAAGCCAGAACAACCACCAAGTGTCCTTCGTTGACTTTCATTTAACTAGAGCATGGTGTGGAACGAAGTGGCCTTCACATAGCCCATGCAGCAAGTCTGGTGGATCGAGTCACTTAGAGGACATGATCAAGTCACTGGGGAATTCATCATTGTGGTCAGGAGAAATATCAAGGCAGAATCTGTTGTGTGTAGAGAGCCACCCACCAAAGTCAAGGCCATAGCATTCAGAGCTGGGTAAGGAGTTGAATGGGTGAGGTGAATGACCCCTGGCAATGTGTAGTCTGGATATTCTCCTTCAAATGGGCACCCCCTTTTCTACACACAGACCCTCACTCACTAATTAAGGAACAGATGGAGAACTGTGATGGCTTCTGGGCAGTAGATGTGTTCCAAAGGGCAGTTCACTGAATTCTCAGATTTTATTTCATGCCCCTCCCACAATGGATTATGAAATGACTTTTAGAAGAGATTGCATTTAGGATTCAGCCCAGCACATTACCCTAAAGATTAGCTGGTACTCACACCTTGGCTATGGTCTCACTTCAACTGTGCTTGGCTCTCTCCACCTTTCCTTCTGACTAGAAATATGTCTTCTCCGGCATAGATAATTCTTACCTTTGTGCATCTTTTCATCAAGCACAAAGGTGGCTTTGAAGTACGAGAGGCAGCTCTCCTATTGTATTCTCCTTCACGTTCCTGTGAGATGTTTTTACCCACTCTAACCCTCACTTCTTAACTTCCAGACTAGAGTTTGTTATAGCTTCAAACTTGTGTTCAGATCTGTACCTCTAGGATCCTGACTTCCCTGGCTGATGAACTATGATAATGGAACTACAAACTAAAATATGCCTCCCAAGTTCCATCGTAATGTTGCATTCCAATACAAACCCTACCAAAGGCTCTTTTCCAAATAGGAGATCTTCTGTCCCTACAGCAGAGTTTGACTTTTATCAAGTCTATTAAGACATAAATGACAAATAAAATTACATGTATCTAGCAGTAGAGTATGATGATTGGATTTATAAATATAACTGTTTGATTTAAGTATAGAAATGATTGCTCTAACTCTGAAGTTATTATATATATGTATATATATACATATACATATACATATACATATACATATACATATACATATACATATATATATATAATAGTGTATATTTACATTGTTTGCATGTGTGTGGAGGTCTCGGGGATACTAGAGTGTGAGATTTACCCTCCAAGCAAACTTCAAGTATACAGTACAATATTGTGAACCATCATCCTCATCTTGAAGTCGAAGTCCCAGAACTTAAACCTTTTTGTTTGTATTTTCTTAAGGCAGTCTCCTGTGTCCCAGGCTGCCCTCAAACTCCCATGTAACCAATAGATAGACATGAACTTCTGATCCTCCTGCCCGTATCTTCTAGGTTCTAGAATTTCAGACATGGGCCAGCACACCCAGCTACAAATTACCAATCATGTAACTCACACCTTTTGCCTCTGGCCAATGTTGTTACATGTGCACCTTGTAACTCGGGTACCCAACAGAGAGATGACATCACGCTATATTCTTCTTTGTGCCTGAATTGTCACAGTATATTAATAATCTTCTGCAGTTCATATGTGGGGTGACAGATAAGTATCTTCCCCTCCTGTTCAGGGTTGACTGGTATCCCACTGTGGAATCTCAATCAGCTCATTCATCCTTAGATACTCGGCTTGTTTTGAGATCCTGGATGTGGTGATGAATGCCCTGATGAATGTGACTTAAACTGCATGCTGCTGCTCTCTGCTGCTCCCTCTTGCTGACCTGTGAATGGCAACTCTCTTTGTCCCTCAGATAAAGAGTGACAATGTGTCTGCAATTGGAGCCAGGTACACTTGAGTGTGGCCTAGATGAAGAACATGAAAATGGCTGTTCTCACACTATAGTCTCTAAACTGCGCCTCTTTCCATGTGTGTTTTTAAAAATGGTTTATTACTTAGACATATGATCTATGCACAAAATATAATGCTTCTACTTACAAGGCTAAGCAGGGTGTTCACCCACGGACCCTGTAGTATGTTTATTTGCTCTCATTTTTTTTTTTTTTTTTTTAGTTTCTTCATCTGAGTATAATGATGTGTTTAAGGCATCAGCTTTGTTGGGGAGTGATGGATTCAGACCTCCATGTCCTGCTCTTCTGGGAAGCTCTCTTAGAAGCACAGGCATTTGCTGCCACAACCAGTTAAAACTTAGCTATCGTATAACCGACATACTCCTTCCTAAGAGCATATTTCCAGGTTGAAATGGCGGTCTGTGGAAGACACCACACATGCCAAGGACCGCAGCAGCTTTTCCTACCAACCTGGTGTTTCTATCTGTACTATTTTGGTACCCAAGTCCCAGAAAGAAACGGGGTCCCTGGGTGTCCTGCCATAGTCCTCAGCTTCTGTCCTTGCTTTTCAAACATTGATTCTTTGGAGCCCTTCATTCTGAACGCTAATTACTCTTCAGTTAAAGTATGATGTTTATGGTGTTTATAGTGTTTCGAGGGAAAAGAAAAGCTTTTCTTTGCTTATTATTGTAACTCTAGTCATCTCCCTGTCCTTCTCAGCATGATTCCTGCATCTTGTGTCCCTGTGGAAAACTTTCCATTGTATTTAGAACACAGCAAGAAGAAAGACCATGCTTTCATATGGAAGAGACAAGATTCTGAGTCTTGCCAGTTACGGGCGTGTTATGTTTTTAGCTTCTATCATCATATTGATTTAATTGTTATCAGCCATCTGTATTCAGGGGTTATGAAAAAACTGATTCCTCCAGAATGCACGCTGGTGACGGCAGAGACGAAACGCAGGGAAACCGCAGGCATGCGTGCTGAGGATCTCCCTTCTGCTGATGGCAGGAGGAGACCAAGTTAAAAGGGAGCCAGCTTCTATACTTGGAGAATGGACATGGCCCTTGTCCACCTGAGGCTCTGTTGTCAGAGCAACGTGAGGACGAGACAACAAGCTAGCCTGCTCTGTAGCAATGCCTTCAACAGGACCTGATCTTACCAGCAGCCTTTTTTCCTGTAAGAAGACCACCAGTTGAGGTTGGCTATGGTGCTGCTACTGCAGAGGTTGGAGAGTGATAAATTAGAAGATTTTATTTTAAAAATTGCTTGAGTTTTAATTAGGAAGTTATATGTTCATTCTCTTTTCTTTTGTTCATTCTCTGGTAATGCATTGTAACCTAAACTTATGTTTTTCCTAACATTTTTTAAAGCACAGAACTGTTACAGTCCGGAGACAGCCTGTGGGTGGCCTGGGCCTAAGCATCAAGGTATGAGCTTGTTTCCTCCCCCGCCCCCAGCACATCAGGCCCCAAAGCCTTCAGTGTCAGTCCTGATAACTGTTTCCTTCTCCTGTCTCTGCCATCTAGGGGGGAGCAGAGCATGGTGTCCCTGTCGTCATATCCAAAATATTCAAAGACCAAGCAGGTAAGACTGGCCCTGGTGACGGGCATGACCAATGACTACTATGAGAAAATGGCTTTTGAAGTGATAAAATGAGCACACAGTTATTTTGGCTGCATGCTTTAAGTTAAATGTCACTACGGCGGCTATGTGTTGTTTTAGAGAATGAGTCTGGTCCCCTGATATGTGCTGGCTTCCCCTCTCCATTTCTCCTGACCCTGTCAGCCCATACAAGACCGTTTCTTGTGTGATGTGTCCATGTACCACAGAGAACACTTACTGCTTCAAGTCTGAGCAATGAGTCTCTTACCATTGGCTTAAGCATGAGGAGACTTAAATGTAGGCGATACCCTGTCGTGTCCACTGGCATTTAGAAAGAGTCTGTGGGCATGAAAATAACTTACCCATTGTAGAACTCCAGACATGCTCAAGAGTGACCCAGGAGGGAAACGAAAATCCACCGCTTGGAACCAGGGAACATGGGCATCATGTCGTTATCTGTCCATCAGGCTGTGAGAGGAGCCCCAGCTATGGTTAGGAATGGCAGAACTCTTGTCTCTGAGAGGATATGTGCATACAGGTGAGGGTGGGACTTCCTTATGGGGCAGGTAATTCTCAGCAAACAGGCTATTTCCTGATGTTCCCAGATGATTGCTACTGGACACATTGCTGTCAGCGTCTCACAACAGCTTCCTCTGCCCTTCCTCCAGCTTTGCCATCCCAGCCCAGCCTCTGCCTGGGAATCTCAATCTCCACAGGCCAGCGTGCTGGGGTTAATATGGGCAGTCCCCTGCAGTCTGTTTTCCCAGGGTGGAGGGAAGGTTAACAAGCATCCTAGGGCCTCAAATTAAAAAGGATGAAAGACAGGACCCGGAAGTGGGGTCAGTTTGGTGAGCTCGCACACCTCGAACTGAGACCATAACTGGGGGTGGCAGTCACCACGGACACCTGTGGTTCTGTGTCTGCTCCTGTTGGAAACAAAGGGATGCGGAGGGGAGAACAAGCTTGACCTGTCTCTCAAAGCCATCTCATCCATTTCATCTGACCGTACCAGACAAAGAACCAGAGTTAGTCTGGTCCAGTTTGCCTGGGTCTGAGCTGCTCTGAATGCCCTAATGGCAGGAGGTGTCAGAAAGCCCGTGCCATAGATCCATCCAGGCCACTGACAAAGGTCACAGACAGCATGGGATTGTGTTGCAGAGACAGTTCAAATGAGAGGCAGATTTCCAGAGAGATTGTGGAGCCCCATGACACCTTTGGATAAATTTTTGGGAAGGAGAGAAGTGCCCACATAGTTCATTGTGAAATTGGAATCTACATGAGAATTTGTCATCGTCTAGGACGTTTAGAAGTTAATGCCTGGAGACATTTTTCTCTTTTCTGAGTGCAGTGGCAAACCCTACTTGTAGCAGACAGGATATCTAGTTAGGATTGAGATCGAATAAGCCTAGGGGTGCAGCTTTCTGTGCTCACTGCCCAGAGGCAGGAAGACACTGCCTCTAGGTCTTGATAGAAAAGATGGAAGTATGCGTCTTACTACACACACACACACTTATCCCATCCCCCACCCCTTAGTGGCACCAAGGATTTTATTTGATCCGAAGATATGAGCTGAGTTCTAACCTTGGCAAACAGGAAAGTGAAAGACCTATATAGTTCTCAGAATCAAATACTAATTCTTTTTGAGATTTTTTTAAAAAGCATTTAGAAACAAATGCTGTGCTTAAATCGGACTACAGGCCCCGTGTTGTTTATCAGATGTAACTGTGGAGCTGACATGCTTTACCGAAGCAGAGACTCTGGTGCATCAAAAGTGAAATTCTATAAGTAAGGAATAAATCAATTCCCTTGTGCATTAGCTGTGTTTAATTACTTCTGTGCCCCTGGCAGCCCTCTTCGTGGCTGATTAATAATTGAAGGAAGACTGTTCGTGGGTATTTCTGTCTCTGGAGGTCATCTTCATAAACATTATCGGTTCTTTTTCATTGGTGCATTTCTTATTTTTTTAAACTTGTGGATTGGAAATGGTTCAGAAAGGAACGAGGCTAAACAGCAGAGAAGTCAGTGAGAAATTTCATGCTCAGCTGAGAGAGAAAACCTTGGTGCAGACAGAAGTGGGAGTGAGACTGGTTGTGAGAAGGGTACCCTGTGTGGACTGTTGAAATCACCCCTGCCTGCTTCCCCTAATCAAATGCATGTGGTCAGAGGACCTAGGACTTAGAAGATTGCCGACAGAGCTGCCTGGCGTGAGGACATGCTGTCAGAGTGCTTTGAGGGAATGCTTTTCTTCAGCTCCTTGGAAGCCTCTCATGTAACTCCAGTCCAGTCAGGCTTGATATCCATCTGACATCCAAAACTGACTGATGGAGGAAGGTCATTGGTTAAATAAAAAGAAACTGCTTGGCTCTCATTGGTTAGAGATAGGTGGGAGGAGTAAACAGAACAGAACGCTGGGAGGAAGAGGAAGTGAGCTCAGACTCCACAGCTCTCCCCTTGGGAGCAGACGCCTGCAGAGAGAGAGAGAGGCCATGCTCCGCTTTTCCGGGCAGACGCAGGCGATGAAGCAAGCCGCCAGGTTAGACATGCTGAACCTTTCCCGGTAAGACTGGTGCTCACAGATTATTAGAGATGGGTTGATCGGGATGTGAGAATTAGCCTGTAAGGGCTAGAGCTAAAGGGCCAAGCAGTGTTTAAATGAATACCGTTTGTGTGTTGTTATTTCGGAGCATAAGCTAGCTGAGCAGGCGGCCGGGGTGCTGGGAACGCAGCCCCGCTGCCCCTATTTACAACAACTGACATCCAATCCAGAGAGTGTGTTGATTGTGTTAGCTGGCCTCAGTCCCTTTCTTACAGGAGTGATTCGGAGACACTCTTCATGTCTTCATTATGCTGATCATCTGCATCAGATAATCTGTAGTTTCATGCATAAAATGTGTGAAGGAAATGTAAGTGGTTACAGTTAGAATTAGGGCTTGTTCTCACTTGCTCATATCTTAATGTATAACATGGTCTCAGAGTCATAAACAGAGGAGGGCTGGCTCACCCTGAGTCTCGATATTGTTGGAGAAGGGAGGCTGCTTGTTGGTTCCCGGCCACCCGGCTAACGCAGACCCGGAACAATCACACAGAATTAAATCACTGCTTGGCCCATTAGCTCTAGCTTCTTATTGACTAACTCTTACATATTAATTTAACCCATCTCCATTAATCTGTGTATCACCGTGTGGCAGTGGCTTACCAGCAAAGTTTCAGCATGTCTGATTCTAGTGGCGGCTCCATGGCATCTCTCTGATTCCACCCTTCTCCCTCCCAGCATTCAGTTCAGTTTTTCCTGCCTACCTATGTTCTGAATGCATAGAGATCTGGCGCGTAATAAAAGGAATCCCACACTAGCTCAAAACTAAGAAATATACAGGTATTTATTAATAGATAAAACTTACAAATCACAAATCAAGATTCTCTGCCTGAATGAAGGATAAAGATGCCAGCAAAACCGGGGTCCAGGGGGAAAGGCAGAGAGGAAGAGGGCCAGACACGCTTCCACATCCAGGTAAATAGTCTATGAGGCCATGCCCCAGTAGGTGGGTAGTTGTTAGCTATACACCTTCCTGCAGCAAAGTTCTGGCCTACTATAGATCCAAAGCAGTTTCTTTACTCATTAATGTTAATCACAGCATACAGAAAGGAAATCCCACATCATCTATACGAGGCTAACAGAGGGCTATGCCTTTACATAAAGAATATGGTGGGTGAATAGAGTATAATACTTAATACCCAACATTGCAGGAGCTCTGGAGGATGGACCTTACCACAGCAGGTACACTCATCACTAATGCATGAAATCATCCGACATTTGACTATTCCCAGGCTTGAGAAACGAAGCCTGCATTTCTCACCCAGATGTGGACATAAAGAGCACACACTGTTAGCCAATTAAGTATGGAGTCTTCAGACAGTCTAGGAACTGGGCAGGAAGATCAGAAACAAGAATAAGACCTTGGAGTTGGACCTTGCTTATTCCAAGAGAAACTGCCTGTATTCAAGGATACTCTAAGATGTTCACTGTGAGTTGGATAGGTATTGCAGCATCCCCAGGAGAAAGGCCTACATAAGCAGGGCATTCTATGCTCCCACTCTCTGACCACCTCAGCTGACCCTCAGGCTATTCCTTCTGTCTTACTCTTAGGAACAAGACTGATGTAGCCTGTTGGATCAAAGAAGAAAAATCTCTTATGTATCTAAGAATTTGTCCAACGTTCTTCAACAAATAGCTCTCTGGGGCATTCAGTGAGGATACTGAAGTTGTCTGTTGCAGGACAGGCTGACAGTGAAAGCTCCCACCACACACACTCAGAAAACAGGGACCACATGCTGTGTGTAAGATATTAAGAATTATTGAATAAGAAAACATGGCTGTTTTTTTAAACTGTTTTTGCTGTATAGGTGATGGTGTCGTTTTATGATTAAGAGGAGCCACTTTTGAAAAGTCCAGGGGTAAGGGTAGTTTGCACTGTAAATGTCACTCTCAGGAGAGGACATCCTGGAAGTGCAGGTGCAGCCATTCAGGTCACCATGCGGGATAAAGAGACCCGGATGAATGACACAGACGTGCTCTGCTGAGCTCAAGAGTGAATGGGCAGAGTTCAGATGCCCTTTGTAGCTTAAGTGTCAGGCTGCTGATGGTGAGCAGTGGTAGCAAGAGGGCAGAGACTGAGCGCTGCCTACTGGTTCATCACTTTTGGAAAGAGGGGAGTGGCAATGACCTTGATAAAGTGACCTACCAGCCCTGTGGAGTTAGGTGACAGCAGGGACAGGAAAACAATATTCTGTGATCTGTGCAGAGAGGTGTATGTGCATGGGTTCCGAGGGCACAATGGAGAAAGGAGGATCTAGCTTGAATCGATGGAGAAGGGAACTCCTGAAGGACACAGTGGTTAGAGAGGATGCTGAGAACAGGGCTAAGAGGGAAGGCGGGAGTTGAGAGGGAAAGACGGTGCTGTCTCAGGTCTGGCTTTCCCATCCTT